TCCTTAGAGGCTTTTGAGCGGCTGCCCCTCGGTCTGGGGCCGTTCACGAAGCAGGTTTTCACGGAAAGCCATCTGCTGAATTTTGAGGGTGACGTTATTCGTTTCGGGCCCCCGATGTTAAATGTCTAAAATGCTTTTAAAAAGATGTCAGGGGTGTGCGTGGGGATGGCGGGAGAATTTCCCTCCAGATTAAGCAGCGTAAGCCTTATTGTGCAAGGCGCCACTCTGGTTTCGGAGTCTTCTCTGAAACAAGGAACGCCGGAGTCCAGACTTACCCCAAACGTGGGCCAAGAAAAGGGTCCGTGTCTTAAGGAAGAATTCACAGTAATCAGGGCTTTTAACCGTACAGCCCAGCACCTAAGAACCCGCTTAGAAATAAAGCTCGAGCTAACGTGTAGAAGACATTTGCATTGCGCCTTGTCTGCCTCCCTGAGCGAAACCTTGGTTGCTTTCTCTCTAGGTCTGTAACTAGAAGCTATTACAGGGGCGCGGCCGGGGCACTTTTGGTCTATGACATCACAAGGTGAGTGCCTGGAGTCACATCTCTTGCTTTTCAGTGATAGGAATTCCTGGGAAGGGGCCGTTCCTGCTACTGCTCCTCGCAGATGATTTTCGTTGTAAAAGAAAAGCTATAATGCTGTTTTTCAGAGGAATTTATGGTGCGGGGAGAGGAGGGCCTTGACATGCAGAATGTCTGTAGGGGGGCTAAGCAGGGCAGCAAGGGGGATTTGGGGGAGGAAGCCAGCACTATCTGAATGTCTGTCTGTCTGTCTATCTCTCTGTCTATCCATCCTGTCTTGCAGCAGAGAGACTTACAATGCCTTGACCAACTGGCTAACAGATGCCCGGACTCTAGCCAGCCTCAATATTGTTATTATTCTGTGTGGCAACAAGAAGGATTTGGATGCTGACCGGGAGGTCACCTTTTTGGAAGCTTCTCGTTTTGCTCAGGAGAATGGTAATGTGGGGGATGGGTAGCTGGAGGGGGTTCAGTCCCCAAAGACTTGCTTTCACCGGAGCATCTAGGTGCCACTGCGTTGGAATGAGAGCAGTTGCTCTCGGCTTCCTTCCTGGGCACCTGTGCAGTTGCCCTGCTGGGGCGAAGGAGTTGGCTGTGGTCAGCTGCTGCCGAGAGCCACTCGAGAGGCTGCCTTGGGGTTGGGGGCAGCCAGCTCAGATCAGCTGCTGGGTTGCTTTGCCCAGCATCCCTCTGTCATTAAGGGACGGAGCTTCTGAGAAACCTGGGAGGCCTGGGCTTGATCCCCAGCAACTCCACCCTCCACCCCTCGGCCTGAACTCTTCTGCAAAGAGAGAGTTTCTGTTCTGGAGCTCGTGGGAAGGCTCCTCCCGCCCCTCCTTTGCTTTGACTAGGGTTACTTAAGGGTCCAAAGGGCAGAAGGTTAGAATATACATTGAAGCATCTTAACAGCGGTTGTCATCCAGCGCTGTCTTCTCATCTGGCAGAACTGATGTTTCTTGAGACCAGTGCCTTGACTGGAGAGAATGTAGAAGAAGCTTTCCTAAAGTGTGCACGGACCATACTGAATAAAATTGAATCAGGTGCGCCTTGTTTTATGATTTATTTTTTTAAACAGATTTGTCAGCCATCTCAGTCCTGAAGGACTCTGGGTGGTGTGTACATCGGAAAATTGTTCTGCGGTTGGCAGTACAAGTCTTCCAGTTAATCCCTCAGTCTGCTGGGTCCAACAGCTTGTGGAAAGGATGCAGTGGAGGGCTAGTGTGCCTTGAGAGGGAGAGTGTTCCAAGGAGTGGGGCTGCCCCAAGGAAAGCCTGCCACGTATTCTACCACCCCTGAACTTAGCAGGCCTTCTGTGGGTTACTGGACCATGTGGCTGGATTGAATTCTGGCAAGGCATGTCATAAGGGGCTTTAAAGAAAATAACCAGCTCTTGGAGATTCCCAAAGGGAAAGGAGGCCCCCATATTGGATGGAAGTGGCCACAATTCTGGTTTAGCTGCTTGGGACTAATGCAAATCTGTGGAAGTACTGCCTGCCACATAATAGCAAAGCCTGAACTCTAACGCTTCCAGCTAATGTTTACTATTAGCAAAAATGGGTCCAGAAAGGGCAGCAACTTTACTGAGGGATTTGCAGCCTTGGTGCAAACCTTCCTCTGGAAGGATTACAGGCTGGCTTCTCCCGATGGTTCAGACCTGGCCTCAGTAGTACAGAAGTGTTTAAGGGCAGCAACAATAGGGCCCTACAAATGTGGCTTTGGGTGAACTCGTGTGCTCCCAGAACTCAAAACTCCTATCAAAACGGCTTTGAGCTAGTTAGGAATTTGGGTAGCTCTGGGCGACATGCCAGGGCCAGAAGCCGCTCTGGAGCCTGCCCAAACCTTCTTTTGGTAAGTTGACATGTGTGGCAACCAGGCTTTGGGACCCAGCTGGACCAGGGCTGGGCTTGGCTGCGGAAGACGGCGGCTGAAGCCGGTGGTGCCTGCATCTCTCCTTCCCCCCCAGGTGAGCTTGACCCGGAGAGGATGGGCTCGGGTATCCAGTATGGGGATGCGTCTTTGCGGCAGCTGCGGCAGCCCCGGAGCAGCCAGGCACAGACTCGGCAGCAGTGCACCTGCTAGGGCCAGGATCCCACGGGCTTGGGAGCGCTTGCAAGGTAAGGGGGGAGCTGTGGTGCTGCCCCCTGCGAGGGGCAGGAGGGTGGCCAGTAGGCCCGCATGAGCTGGGAGACCTGAAGCCTGGCGACGGTCGCGGCTCTGAGGAGGTGGCGTCCTTGACCAAAGGAGACCCAGACCTGGGCGGCGGCCGGCCGGCAAAGCCAGGAAGGGTGTGGCGTTCTGGCAGCTCTGCTCAAGCCCAGTGGGCTGGGGTTAGATGGGAGAGAGTTGTGCACCCCAGGCTCTAGTATCTCCTGCCATGTGGGGCCCTCAGTGTTTCTGTGCCTCATGTACCTGATTCCGCACTGGGGGTGTGCAGGCCGGGGACTCTTCCTCTCCCTCCTCAAATTCCATTGCAGAAAAGGGGTGCCCTAGAAGCGCCTCCCGCCGCCTGTGGCCTGGCCTAGCTCCCACGCCTCAGAGCCGTGGGCAAGAAGCTCAGCGATCCCTTTCCCTTTGGGCAGGACTGGGGAGCCTTGGCAGGCAGTCCCCAGGCCGCTACGTGGCCAGGAGGCTTGGAGGGTTTGGCCACAGGGCCAGCCCCAGAGAGAGGTGCGAGGAGCTGGTGCCTCTGCGGGGCCCTTCTCCTGTGCTCTTCACCCACCCCCTCTCTTTCCTCCCTCAGTGCCGGAACCCTGCTGCTCGGGACCCAGGGCTGCGCGAAGCCTCTTCTTTTGTTTGGCTCTCCAGAGCAACAGGCCTCGGGGGCTGAAGACCCCTGCCGTGCCTCTGTGCTGTCGCTGCCATTGCTGCTTCCGTCCCCTTTGCTTGCCTCCCGTCCTAAGGAGAAACGTCATGAGTTCGGCTCTCAGGCTCCCTAGCGGAAGGTTTGCACTGGCGGCTGTGGGCTCTCTTTAGGCCAAGTCCCTGCATCCGCCCCCTTGTGCACTGCTGCTCCCCAAAGGTGGGGGGCGCTCCCTAGAGGGTGTGGAGCCTTCTTGGCCCCATGCAGTAATTGCTTCTGCACTCCGTAGCTGCTTGCAGCTGAAAGGCAGCCCATCATTCTGATTTGGAAGAAGATGTCTCTCCCTTCCGAAATGCTGAATTTCTCTACTTTCCTCCCCTTCTTTAAACCCTTGGTTTGTTTCACGTTGCGTCTAATTTCAGTCTGCTTCTAGAAGTTGAGGTTGGGGGCAGGTCAGAGCACAGTTGTGGCAGTGGACATTTTGGCTTTGGCCTTGTCTGTAGCATCTCCAGCACTCCTCTTCGCAGGGCGGGGTCCAGGGCGAGCACATCTCCCCTCCGTCTCCTTCACTTGTGCAGGGATTGTGGGGGGCTGCCGTTTCCATGCCTTCGTTCCGCCTTCTGGGCGCCTCTTCTGCTTGGCCAATGCCACGGCCTGCCCATATTGCAGGCCCTCGCCACCCCTCTCTTTTCCTGGGGCTGCAGCAGCTGGGCCAGCCCAGGCCAGTGGGCAGATCGGGTTGGTGTCCTGGGGTTTGTTTTTTTGGCATGGGGTTGATGGAACGAGAAGTGCTCTCTTCTGGCAATTTCTGTGAGCTCTTTCCTGGCTGATTTGCTCTAGCCTGAATCCACAGCAAGGAACCCAAAGCTTCCGAAGAAGAATCGCTGCTTCTCTGCTGGTGTGGGAAGCAGCAGGGATATTTGGGTCCCCACTTGAGATGCTGACAGCCATCTGTTTGGGTGAGCTTGGATTCCTGCACGTTGTCAAGTGTTGCAAGAAGTCTGTATCTTTAAAACCTTTGACCAGGCACCACCGTGAAAGGCCTGTGAGAGTCGAAAGCCCGGGAGTTGACAAAGCACCTTCCACCTTTAAAGAGCACGGTTCTTGGTTCTTGGATTTTGTCGTAAAGTGTGGGGAAAAAAATCACAAGGTCATTGAATTACCCACAACCCTTTAATCCTGTGGCCAGCGCTACCAGGCCTGCTATGCGTGGTCCCTCTGCAACTAAAGCTGTTTGGGTCCCAGAGGTGATGGTTTGGTGGGCAAGTCTGAGGAGCGAGATGGCAGGGGGGATTTAGAGGCCCTTCCTGTTAGCAGCCACTTCTGATAATGGACGATTGCACCCCTGATGCAGGGAGGATAGCTGCTCTGAGTTGGGGAAATTCTCCTCCCCTTCCCCCCCCCCACATTCCTAGTTTTATAGTCACATATGGGAAGGTGAGAATCTGATCTGGAAAGCGGGGTCTGTCTCTGCTTTCTGCTAGAATATAGGAGCTGCTGCTTCTTGGGTGCTGTATTGGTTGATTTGGGAAGGTTTCACTTCCTCTCTGGCTTTCTTCCAGCTGTGCCCTCCCTCTTCCACCTTCAAAACAAAACAAAAAAAAAAAAAGGAAGAGGAAAAAGGGATCTAGTTTAGATTTTATTTTTAAGCGTAATGTTTACCTTTGTTATTTATTACTTCTGTGTTAAGGGCAGAAACACTGTCACTTTGTATTTGTCGTCCCTACTTTCGTTGCCCCAACTCAACGGCTTTTGCAGATAGCCTCTTTTTGGTTCTGGTTTGATTCCCTTATGCTTTGTGGAAGGATGGGGGCAGGTCCTTTGGGCAAAGGATTGCTTTCAATCTAGAGTCGAACAGCTGACAGTTATAAGCCGTTTGTAACCTAGTTCTTCCAGTTTATTTTTTTCCTTAAATGCAAACATTCCCTCCAACTTTAAGGCTGTGAAACTAATTCTCCTACATAAAATGTTTTTTTTTTCTTTTACAAATGTCAGAATGGTGATGCCCTTTTCTTTTGGAAGCAGTTCATATATGCTCACTAAGTAGCAGAAGAGCACAGGAGGCTACTCAAATGTAGGGCAGGCTGCTGGCAGGACGGAAATAAGCGTCCGTCGTGGGGGAAGATTCCAGGCGGTCTCTGGGCTGCCACTCCTTCTGTTAAGGAGTCCGTTTCTAACAGTGGCTGGTCACATACCTGCCTTGGGAATCTCGTGCGTGGGGCCGTAAGATAGCTGCTCTCCCCTTCTCTCTCGTGAGTGAAGCTGGGTCAGGCATAGGACGTGTCTAGGCAAAGCTGGAGGAGAGTGGACCCTCGGCTTCCCTTCCCCGGAACTTCCCTCAAGAGGTCCCGGTGCTGCTGTGTGTCCAGCGTGCCTTCTGCTGGTGGGAGTTGTTTTCTCCATGATTTCTGTCACCTTCTTGTAAAACCATGGTTGCTGCAAGGTGCAGAAGGAGGCCCTTGTCTCTCCGCACAAAAAGCTAAGCTCCCTCCCCCGTATCACACTCTTTCCTCAACGGAGGCGCTGGAGATTTTCCACTAGTGGGCAGCTCAGGCTTGGTTGTTGCCGAACCATTTGCCCAATGTCCCTGCACATATTTGCGTGCAAGACGTAAAAACATTCCCTAGATTGGTGGTGGAAAATTCACCCAATAAACACCCGTAACGAGAGGATCCAAACGATTGTTTTATTTTCCAAAGGTAGCTGGGTACAGTGAGTCCCTGGTCTCTTGCTCCCGGATGAGGCAAGAGCAAGACCTCCCAAGTACCATGGGTCTTAAGTGGAAGGTTGGTGCAAGACACTTGGAGTGTGCATGTGTGTTAATAGGAGGCTCTAATAGAGAGAGAATCGCTTTGCAATTGGTAAGATGGCTCTAAGGGAGAAATGGGTATCTTTCATGGTGTAAAAATATGACTGATACACCCTTTGCAGTGCACCATGGCAGCTTTCACATAGGAGAGTTGTCAAGGTTGTAATTATTATTCTAACAAGCTGACCCTGTACTTTGCCACAGAAAGAGGGAGAGATAAGGAAGCACCAGATCCTGGACTCCGCTGTCTTCGTTCTGGACACAAATTCTGTAGCTTTTTAAAAACAAATCAACATTGTAACAAGAATTCCTTATTTAAAGAAGCCATCAACTGAAAAGATATATGCAATACCATATAAAAGAATAGTTATGTAATAGTATACTTAATTCAAGCTAAATTCTTATTCCAATTTTCCACAGTTTACATGCATTATCATATTTCTTGCCTGTAATTGAACAGAAGTTCAGAACACAAACAGAAAAAGTAAATTGGAAAACAGTATCCAAAAATAAAGAGCAATGATTAAAAGACAAGTTTTCCAGTTAATCCATGGAACACCTCTTCTGAAATGAAAAGATTCTTGTCTCCTTGTCCAAATCAGCAGAGAACATGTGGGTGGCTGGGATCCCTAGAGCGGTTTCCCCAGAGAGGAGGCTCTCCTGGTCACAAATGGCGCTCTGGGTTTCCAGAACTCTTACCCAGCTGTGACCTCTTGGAAACTCCGGGGGCTTGAAAGGTGAAAGTCAGACTCAGCACATGTTCAGCTGAGCTCTGAAGACAGCAACCCAAGCTGGTATTTTATCCATCCAGAGGGAGGGAGGAACTGTGGACAGCCTGTGCTAGCTGAAATTTGGCTGGGTGCTTATTTAGTTGGGAGCCTTCCAAGAAAGCTCCATCTAAACCAGTGTTTCTCAACCTCAGCCACTTTAAGACCCGTGGAGTTCAACTCCCGACATGCTGGCTGGGGAATTCTGGGAGTTGAAGTCCATGCGTCTAGTGGGTGAGGTTGAGGAGCACTGATCTAAACACTTAGATTGTAGCATTGGAAGGGGTCCCAGAAGTCTTCTAATCCAGTCCCCATCCCAAGAGCTTGGAAATCTGTTGATGCTGCTCAAGACTGCGTTGGGTCTTTTGGCAGCTGCAGCACACTGCTGGCTCATGGCTCATCTGGGCCTACCAGGCCACCCAGATCCTTCTTGTAACGACTACTGCTCAGCCAGGTACAGATCTATCTGGTTTTCCTCAAGTACAGAACCCTGCATTTCTCTCTACTGAATTGCATTTTGTTTGAATGGTGCCAATGTTAAAGCATATTGAGGTCTTTTTGAACTTTGAGCCTGTCTTCTGAGGTGTTAGCCGTCTCCTTTGCTTGTGTTGTCTGCAAATTTACGGAGCATCTGTTCTGTCCCATTGACTCAGTCCTTCATAAAAATGTTGAGGGGTTCTGGGCCCAGGACAGAACCCTGAGGTCCCCACTACACACCTATCCCCATAAGACACAGGACCACGTGTTAGGTGTGGTGGTTCAGCCAACTGCAAATCCATCTTTAGTGGGACCATCCACCCCTCATTTTTCCATTTGATCCAGAAGAAGGCTGTGGTCAACTGTATCCAATGCCTAACTGACCTCTAGCTACACCGCATCCCCAGCATTCCCTTGGTCTATGAATCTAGTCATGTCCAAAAAAAAGTAGGATTTGTTTGGTACAACCTACGTGCTGATCTCCAATAGTCACCTTGTCCCTTTCTAATTGCTTGCAGCCTGCTCCTCGATTTTTTTCTACGATTTTCCTAGGTATTGGTGTCAAGCTGGTGGGTCTCCTGGGTCTGCTTTTCCCCTTTTTTAAAGAGTGGAAAAAACGTTAGCTCTTCTCCAATCTTCTGGCACGCCCTCTTAATCCAGGTGGTTAATAAACTTTTGTTGTAATCGGGGTGGGGTGGAGTGGGGAGCCTTCTCCGTGGAACCCTGTGCTGCTTGGAGGCCTAGCCTGGACGAGCACAGCCCTCCGGGACGAGTCAGGCCTTCACCACGGCCCCTCCCTGGGCAGCTCCAGCAGAGGAGGGAGTGCCTGGTTCCTTGCCCTCCTGCATTCCCCAGCCTTTCTCTCTGGACGCAGGCAGATGGCTGCAGCCTACGCCCACCTTCCTCGGTGGGTGGCAGGAAGTGGTGCTGCCCAGATGGACAGACACCCCTGGAAAGGAAGGAAGAAAGTGCCCATTTGGTTGGCCTGCAGTGTGTGGAGGGGGGGGAACCAGAAGATGGCAACTGTGAGCATCAGTGCCCTCTGCCAGGCTCTATCCCACCAGCATCTCCTTCCCCTCCCTTTAAACGACTTGGATTTTCCATCGTTTTGGAAAATTAAGGCAAATAATTCCTGCAAAGGAGAGGCAGGTGGCAGTGATGGGTTACAGGCACCGGCTCTCAGAACAGCATCTGTTCCTTGATGTCAGCTGGGTTCCACTTTGGATCTTTTCTCCTCAGGTGCTCGATGCAACCAGAGATCTGCCCTCACACCCAC